AAAGTTGAAATGTCTGAAATAATGTTCCTAATTCACTCCATTGTGTAACATTCTATCCTTATCTGTGGTGATATTGTGTCTATCAAAACTAGTTTAGGCACTTATTCTGAGACTATCTTTCTGTAATGTACTTCAACCATCTTGCCAATTTCAGTATTATACTACGTCCAGGAGAAATAAATTCGTTTCTTGGAAAACTCCTTTTAAGTAAATGTAGTCATCTTTCCAAGAGCTTGTGCTTTTTTAACCTGGGGAACTGGGGAGACCAGAGAGCTTTATTAATGTGTGCAGTATAATTCTAAAACTTTTTTTTTTCCTTGTTTTCCTCCTGGGGAATGTAAAATAAGGAACAGACTAACATAAATTGTAATTGTTTATAGTTTGTAGTTCTCTATAGACAAAGTTTTGACAATCACTGAAAAGTAGCTGCCATGCAGATAAAATGGTGCATCTTCTGATGTAAAGGTAAAAATTTAAGGGTAAAAATTACTTAAGACTAAGAGTGAAGTCCCCAAAACCAAGCAGTAGTTGCTTATTAAGTAACTGTATTAGGTCTGGCTGAGATGGAGTTAATTTTCCCCATAGCAGCCCTTGTAGAGCTCAGCTTTGTATTGGTGGTGGTAACACACCAGTGTTTTATCTGCTGCTGGGCAGCACTCCACAGCATCACTGCTGTCTCTCCAGCATTCCCTCTCATCAGTAGGCTGAGCAAGATCTTGAGACACAGCCAGGACAGCTAACCCCAGCTGACCAAAGAGATATTATATACTATATGACATGTTCTCGGCAATAATAGCTGAGGTAAAGGAGGAAGGGCAGGGGGACGACATTCACTGTTAAGACATTTGTCTTCTGGAGTAACCGCTATGTGTGTTGAAGCCTGCTTCCTAGGAAGTAGCTGGACATTGCCTGCTGATGGGGAAGTAAAGAATAAATCTTTTGTTTTCCTTTGCTTCCATGTGCAGCCTTTGCTTTTGCTTTATTAAGTTGCCTTTGTCTTGACCAGTGAGGTTTGGGTTTTTTTAAATCTTTCTTCTTACCTCCCTCCCCCATCCTGCTGAGGAGGAGAGTGATAGAGCAGCTTGGTGGCCATGTGGCATCCAGCCAGGGTCAACCCAGCACAATAATGTAGTAATTGCAAATAAAATGGGGGTTAGTTTGAAATAGAAATTGAGTTATTGTTAGATTCCAGAAGATTGCATTTTAATATCTAAGAGTGAACTGCAAACATGCAGTGTTTTGAAAGTCCTGCACTGCATTGAGAAGTGATATGTTCAGAACAACAGTAGCTATGAAAGCATGGGTTTTACAAATGCAAAGCATTGTAAGACTCATTCCTAAAGAAAGAGTGAGTCTTCATGAAGTCAGTCATGCAGAAGCTGGTTTGCAGATAAGTGGGAAGATACAGTGCTTTAGTTGCAATCCACATTTGTCAGTACAAATAACATTAATCAGTGCTTCCCAACTGGCTCAGAGGGCTTACAGCCTTTTTTTCAAATGTGTCCACAATACATTAACTTGCTCTTCTTAATTGCATCTACTCTTCTATTTTTTTTTTCTATTTCTGGTCTTGCCTTTTGATTATTCTGCTTCCTCTGTTAGTTTTTCTGTTTATCTAGAATGTCTAATGCTCAATATGTAAAGTAATGCAAAAGGGGTAATCTTTACCTAGTCAGAGCAGATCACTAATAACTAACTAGTATCAGAGGCAGTAGAAATAATTCAGCTGAGTAAGCTAACTCCAGTAGTGTTGCACTTGCTGTGGCCTGTAGATCTGTTGTGTGGGAATACATGGTCCTCAAAATGGCTTTTCTTGAAGGAGTTCTTCAGGACTGGATACAATTGGAGAAAAGCTTAACCTGGTGGGGAATAGCTCAAGCTTGATCTCCATATATTATGTAAGCTGCTAGCACTGCTTTAGTATTTGTTGTGGGAGTTGAGTGGAGTAACATCCAAGCAGCCAACTGTAGTTTCAGCCACATGTATCATTTTCTGTGTTGAGTAGGCTTTCAAATAAATTCAGAGCTGTGGGACTGTATCCACTACTATTTTGTTTGGAAATGTAATATTAGTAGAGTTGAAAACAGCCTTAGGAGGGGGAAAAAAAAAAAAAGATTGTTTGTAAAGGGCTGCTTTCTGCAAGAGGACAAATACTTGGAATTTACATTCAAATTCTTGTATCAGAATAGTACAGTTCAGGTGTGATCACGGCTGAGCAACTTGAAAACTGTAAGGACCATGACTAAAAGACAGTGTTTGGAGAACAGTGCAGTGGATTTAAGATAAGGTTTGATGGCTTACCAGAATATCGATGCTGGGTCAACCACATCTTTTTCCATAGGAAACATCCTAAAATATATATGTTATTTGAGCACAGCAATACATGGAAAAACTGGGGAAGAGTTTGAAATGTATGCAAGAACTAAGAATACTTGTTGAGTAAGAAAGTCAGTTTCATGGTTTTGCTCAGTGTTAAAGATTCTTGGGTAGATACTGGTTCAGTTGGTTCCACAATCCAAGCAGAGCTTGTGGGAAGCTGTTTTATTCTGCAGGCGGCTAGCAATAGTACATTGTATTGACAAAATTGTAAAGATGTGGGAAAACACATGAAAAAGTATGCAGTAGACATCTTTTAACACTTTTAGATGTGAAACTCCATAAACACTTTTAAAAGCAAACCCTGCAAAATCCAAAACAAAACCTCTGATGGTCAACACTCCTTTCAGGTTTATTTGCTCTTGTTTACGGGTAAATATTGAGTGAAAAGTGTGCCAGAGAGCCAGGTTTCAGATGAGAAGCATAACAGTGCCAAGGCTCAGAAAATATGGCAATAATAATAATAATAGTATCTGACAGGAAATCCACTGCAGCACCTTAATTTGTAGCACAGGATTTAAAAAGAGAAGTAATTTGTTGGGTAAATACTTGCACATTTTTGTCTCTGTTAGTGAAATTTCTTCGTGGCTTTTATTACTGCTTGAGGAGCTGTGTGTATCAGCATTGGTAAAAGATGGATGCTCAAACTCAAAGTCAGATTAATAGATCATATCTGATGCAAGGATGTTGCCTAATGTGCAAGCAGGTAATATACTGGTCATATTAAAATGTCCTTACAGTGAACTATCAAAATGTGGTATTAACACAACTTTTTTCTCTTGTTAACAGGATATTAATTATTAGGGTTAAAATTAAACACAGAAATGGTGTTGACTTGGTTTGCCTTTTCTTGGTATGCCACAATTAACCAATATGAAGTTTTTAGTACAAGCTATGAGCACCTTTTACAACATGCCAGTGAAGGGGAGTGATTCTGGTGTTAGTATTCAATAATTGGGGTTTCAGCTTAAACTTGAGAACTTGAGGTGCAAATGCCTATCCAGCCTTGATTGAAATAAATGTCCATCTAGCCTTGCACCCTATTGACAGAAAGGATAGCTAAAGAGTAGAGACCTAGGATAAATATTTCCTATTCCCCATATGTTTATTTTACTTAAAGCTTCAGGTTAAGGAAATTCCTGAAAAGTAGATTGCTGTATCTTGGCATCAAGTATTTATAATGTTTTTGTTTCCATGAATATATTTGAATCTTGAGGAAGGTGGGGATGGGGAGGGGTGTATCCACTGTTAGTTGAGCTTTGTTTTAATTCCCAAAAGTTTATTTTTTCCTATAACAGGAAATTTTGTTTATTTTTTTTTCATCTTGCTGAATTCTCAGCTTTAAGGAGGAGTGTACTTCAACAGGGAGCTTCCTGATTTAATTATGTGTTATATGGAGAAAATTAATTTGATTTTATGGAGTATCTTTATACTGTTAGGAACTCCCAGCTCCCTGCTTATTCTAACATGCTTTTGCCTCTGTGTATATTTGATACCTTTTTTTCTTGGAAAAGCCATTTTCACTGCTTTGATCTGGCTTTATAAAGGCTTTCTTCCTCTCTTTTTTTTTCTCCACTGAATGCCCTCTTGCCAAGGCATTTTAAGAAGCTAAATAGCTGACCTGTAGGCAATAATATATTTTTAAAAAAAAAGGGCAAATTAGCTTAAATCCCATTAACTTGGGTTCTGACACTTGTTACATTTATAGCTCCCCCCTCCAGTTAGTAAGAGTAGCAAATCCTAAAGTGTTTTGTGCCACTGAATAAAAAAAAAAAAAAAGAGTTCAGCAGCATTGGAACACTTCTGTGATTATTCAGGAATGGGCCAGAAACAATAAAAAATAATTTTATGGCTGAGAGTTTGGTAGCAAGGCCATTCTGTCTGCATTAGATGATTTTAATGTCTATATTTCAGTATTTATTGCTTGTGTAAATATTTATAATCATATATGATGATGGAGGATGGTATTTCAGCTGTGTGCATCCTCCAGAGGTAGCTGTCATGGGAAAAGCTGGAAAAGGGCCAAAATATGCAGGTTGGACAGTGGCTGGAGGAGTGCTCTATTTTAGGCAGCCATGACTGTCTGCAGCTGTTCAGTGTGTTGACACACAACAATTTCCTCCTCTGTACAACTTGCTTTTGAAATTGTGTGTGTTTCTGTGGCATGCAAGTAATCTTCATATGCTCTCCTGTAATACAGAGTTAAAAGTAGAATCTTCTAAGGACCAATATAATGTGTTACACATTCATTATCTGGTTGCTGCAGTGGTGTGTATAGTATAACAGTGCATGTGTCTGCTCTAAATATGCTAACCTATGGTGACTAGGTGTTAACCAGGGATGTCCAGAGTACTGATCTTGTTGCCCTTATTCCTGACTATTACAACAGCCTTTCTGCCTCGCTTGCTGCATGCAAATTGAGGCATCTGTTCGGGAGGGAGACACACAGGGGAAGAGAACCTTAACTGAGTTGTTACCTTCTTAGATCTCTCTAAGAGGATGATATTGCAGTAGGATGGTCTGTCCTGTCTTTGGCTTCTGTAGGCTCTGCCACTGCTTCAGCCAGCCTGGACTCCAGGCTCTTGTTAATCTGGTTCCTTCAAAGGAAGGAATAAAGCCTTCTAACAAGGCTCTTGTTATTCTGGTTCCTTCAAAGGGTGTCATTGTGTCAAATGCTACAAGGTTGAAAGAGATAAAGTATTTGTTATTGTAACCTGTAAATTTTGTGTGTTTTCTTGAATAATTTAGTTAACATTAAGCTAATAACTCTGTTTTCCTATTAGAATTCTTACTATTCTTCAAAACCAAGTGATACTTACCCTCACAGACGCATTAGAGGACACCTTGAAAACACAGGACCCTTTAGAAGGCACTTTAAGGTACAGATCAGCTTTTATCAGATGTATGTTACGTAAAATGGTGATTTGATCCTGTTGAGTTCGGTAGCAGGAGACACATTTTTGAAGGTATTAAATGCCATGAAAAATAGTGGTTGACTTAGCTTTTAGTAGGCAAGAGGGCTGGCAGTGGATTGAGCAGGGTTGTCCAGTATTGTGTCCATGCAGTTGAAATAAATAAGTTTACTGCAGAGCTGAGAATGAGAACGGCAGAAATTGGACAATGGCTACAAAGCCCATGTATCCAAAAGACTAAGCTGGTCAGCTCTCCAGTTTTTACCTGATGTGTGTTCATAAGCTTGAACTGTTTCCCTAGACCAGGTTATATTGCTTTCTAAACTGTACTACTTTTATTAACCCTTTCATATAGGGATTTTTGAGGTGCTAATCTTTTGGGTATACCCTGTGTACTGCTATCTTGTGCATTTAAAAAAATTCAGAACTGTGAAGCTTTGACCTCAGGGCCTCAAGGTGGTAAGGAGTGGCCAATTGTTCTTCTACCTGAGGTAGTGCAGTGGCTTTCTAATGCCTTTTGATTGTAAAATGTATCATAGATTCAACAGAAAAAACAAAAACCACTCTTCTGCTGACAGTGGCATGCTATGAATGGATCCAGTTAGAGCAATTTGTATTAGAAAAGTCCTAGTCGAATCTAGAACAGCTCGCACTCATTTTGTACCATAAAATTACCTCTACTTATTTAACAGGTGTGTTCTGAAGAGTAAAATAATACAAAGAATAGGTAGTCATCTTTCCTATTTTGTAGATAGTGAAGTTAAGTAAAGCTTCGATGGCTAAGTTAAGGCATTTTGGATGAAGCTTTGAGAAAGGGAGCAGTGTAGGTGTGGGTGTTTTGCTGTAACTTTCTGGTTTTTGTTTCTCCCCCCTCAGACTAAACCTAAGAACTGTTGGATAAAAGGCTTTCGGGTACTCCTATTTAAATATGCTTTGCCAGTCAGTCTTAGTCAGATAACTAAGCTACCACTATCAGAAAATGCTAACTTTATTCTGCTAAAAAAAAAAAAAGTCTTTTTCCAAGCTGAAGTTACCAGTTTAAAGTGTCAGCCTGATAGAACTGTTTTAACTATAGGGACATCATATAGCCTTTCAGTCATTATCCCCTCTGTATTGTCTGCCTATGAGGGATCTTTAGCACTGGCTGCCATATCATTTGAGGCAGTATTGGTAGTTGATGTAATACAAAGGAAATGGAAGGCTGCCTTCATTTATATCAGCCTACAGTTTTCATGTAGATTATGCAACCATGGAAGTGTCTGCTTAAATTGTTATACGTATATATATGTATGCATACTGCCTGAATATTGCAGTATGCAATAATCTGTCCCATGGTGTTTTAATATTTGTGGGGAAAATAGCATATGCACTCACATTGCAGTTTGCATATGTGTGTAGCACAATTATCATTACTATGGAAACAGCAGTGCTGATTTGATTTCAAGTTTTTTTTTTGTTTTTTTTTAATGTTCAATTTCCTCCTGAGTAACAGGGGTTTTCCTTCCCATGCTGTTGCTGAACCCTACTTAGTAAGGTGATTTTACTATCTCCTACATTCAGGAGACTTTCTTCGCTGATTATTTAAAACAAACATACAAAAAAAACCAAGAACCCATCGAGCTCTTCCCCCACCCCTCCCAGTGCCATTCCCTGCGTCCTCTTTTCCCTCTCAGCCCCCTCACCCCAAGAAAAACACCAAACCATACCATATTTCTGCATGGTATATAAAATAGGAGCATTTTAACTTAAGAAGTAAAACAGGGGGTTTACTAATCACAGAATGGCTTAGGTTTGAAGGGACCTCAAAGATCATCTAGTTCCAACCCTCCTGGCCGTTGGCAGGGATACCTTCCACTAGGCCAGGTTGCTTGAAAGCCTCATCTGGCCTTTAACACTTCAAGAAACCAAAACACAAACCAAACAAAAAAGGACCTATATTGTCTTTCAGTATGTTAACTTTGTTATCTTTATGTTAAAGCTGCTTGTTCACTCTCCCCTCAGCTAGTGTGTTACCAGTGCTGTTTGAGTCACAAATGTAAAATACAGCACCATGTGGGCTGCTGGGAAGAAAATTAACTCCATCCCAGCCAGACCCAGTGCAAGGACATCTATTTGCTCATATAGACTTATTTCAGAACTTGAGGCCATTGGTTCATAGGTATTGTCATTGGCATTATTTATAAAATAGTCTTCATGTAAAACTAGATGTGGCTTTAGCAGACTTTTTCTGACTTTCAGACCAGAAGTTAATGATGTTTTCCACACACTTTAGATTACTTCATTTTTCTTTAAGTGATATGTGTCTACATGTCAAATTAGTGTCAACTTTCTCTGTAGCTGGTTCTGTTGTACATTAATAATACTGCCATTCTCCTCCTTCCCCACTTAGGGAACATGTAGATACTGGAGTTGAAACTTTTAAACTGTGTATAATCTCATCCTTTAGAAGATGAATGTATACATGAATGCTTTATGTCAGGACCACACTGGAAAACAGCAGTACTGGAAAGCTATGATAAATTATGATAGAGTAACAGCAGGGGGGGTTGGAACTAGATGATCTTTAAGGTCGCTTCCAACCCAAGCCATTCTGTGATTCTCTAATTCTTAAAGATTTTTGCTGCCTATTTTGTTGGATGTCTGAGTACTTAGGAATGAAAACTTTAACTGCTTTGGTGTTGATCTTACTGTGTATTTATAATGCTGTTCTGTGGCTTCTGCTCCTGGTCCCACACTGGGTTTGTTACAGTATTCCAGTCTGGAGCTAACAAAAGCATAGAGCAATGAACCTATGTTCACATTGTAAGATCTTAAAGCTATAGGAAAAGTATATAAACTTGACTGCTGTTTAGTATGACTATTTTTAGACTCAACATGCAGGCCTGACATCATTGAATTTGTTAGCAGTAGTGATGTGTTGTCTTAATCTTTTTTGTCAGTGCAGCTTTACTTTCATTAAAGTTTAAAAAAAGTGTTAAAATGTTCTACAATACATGTAGTTTGTTTTTTTTTAATGAGGAATATAATTTAAGATGTTTTAAACCGTAAGTACATTACAGCAGTTCTTTGAGACACATGGTAGCTAGTGGTCTGAGGAATATGAAATGAAAATAAAGGAAGAGGCTCTGTACTTGCAAATACGTACTTCCATTGTTCAGTACTGTAAGTTTTGCATGTGTATAACTGTAAATACAAACTATAGAGTTTTGGTGCCCTCATTTTGCATGTTTTTCTTTCCTCCCTTCCCCCACCCTTACAGAGCAACTTTGCAGATGGCCGTTTGCAATCCCATTATAAATCAGGCTTAGTACAGAAGGGTTTATATATTCAGGCTAAGTACCAGCGGTTACGTTCTGTTGGTGTAAGGGGATTTACCACTAATAAATTCAGAGATGGATTTTTGAGGAAAGAAAAGGTAAGTTGGCTTAATTTATTTTTCACTAAGCCAATTATAAAATGCGAATATTCATAATATCCATTCCAATATTTAAATCCCCATGGAATAACTTGGATGGGATTTTCTGGAATATTTGTACTTTGCAGGCTAACTTGATTCTGCCTTCCTGTCTCCTCCATGTTTCTTCCATGGAAATCTGCTGAAACTGGTAACTGCAAATCAGAGGTGGCCTCTGAGATTCTGCACTTGCCTCTGTTTCTGTATTCTGTACTTGAGCTCAGTTGATCTCTCTTCCTATTGATAGGAAGAGAAAGTAGCCCTCTATGTAAAAATATTATGTCTTCTTAGGCTACAGTTTTAAATCAATGTGAAGGGTATTAATATTTTTTTTACTATGTCTGTGTGCTTTTCCTCTTTATGTTACCTTAAATGAATCATGTGCTTTAAAGTACACAGTGCAGTGCTGTTCTGAATAAAGCATCCTACATTATAAAATGTGTAAAATTCAGCTGCAGCTGAAATAGGCACATCTGGTTTATGATACTCTGATTTGCAGTGCGTATGGGACAACAATAATCTTGAACTACAGAGGAACTTCTGAATGCTATGAAATGTTACAGCTTTTGTGATGATCAGTAATTAAAACATTATAAATCCTTGATTAGAATTGATCAAGTATGATCAAAGTAGTATGAGGGTGTTTCTGACATCAGAGAATTGGATTACATGACCTAACTGGCCCCCTGCAGTTCCTGTGTGAATTCTTGTTTGTTTTGCAATTCTGTGTCAATCTATCTGCAAGTAAATACACTTGCATAAGCATTTGTAGTTGGATTAGAGTTCAGCTCTTGGAGCTGTTTTCAAAAAAATCTGAAGTTTACAGTCCCGTGGCGGGGGAGGGAAAAAAAGAAAAACACCAATAACCCAGGTAAGCAAGGGAAAACAAAAAGGGGGCAGATAGAAAACCAAATGCTTTGGTCAAGGTAAACAGGTCACTTGTTACAAAAGTATACTGGCAAATGCCTTTACATTTGTGGGGACTCTCAGAGCTGTGATCTCTGAAGGCTAAACTGAATTGGAATTAATGGAAAATAAATGAAGAAGGATTTTTTCAGAAAATTATGACCTTGTAAAATGAGCATAGAAGTGCCATGACTTTGTTGTAGTGAGTTTTTCCCCAATAATTTCCAATGTTCTTCTATAATTGGATATCAAGGTTCTTGTCTGGAACCAATAAAGCATGCTTAACACAATCTGGCTGGTGGAGATTATGATTTGAATTAGAGAAGCATAGTAAGATCTCAGTATTGATTTTTAGGCTTGATTAAGAACTCGAGTGTCTTTTAGCTAAAGTAAAATAAATCCTAAAGAATAACAATCGTTTTCTTAACAGCATACTGATCCTGATTGGCCAAGTCTCAAAAAAAACCCAAACTTAAAAAAACAAAACCACTTTTTCTCAGATTCTAGCATTTGCTGTATTTTGTCAATTGTAGAGTACTGCATCCAGCTCTGGAGTCCTCAGTACAGGAAAGACATGGACCTTTTGAAGAGGGTCTACAGGAGGACCACAAAAATGATCAGAGGGATGGAGCACCTTTCCTATGAGGAAAGGCTGAGAGAGTTGGGGTTGTTCATCCTGGAGAAGAGTCTTGGGAGGCTTTATTGTGGCCTTTCAGTTCTTAAAAGGGGCCTACAAGAAAGATGGGAACAGGCTTTTTAGCAGGGCTTGTTGTGATAGGATGAGGGTTTTAAACTAGAAGAGGGGAGATTCAAGCTGAATGCGAGGAAGAAAATTTTGACAGTGAGGGTGGTAAAATACTGGCACAGGTTGCCCAGAGAGGTGGTGGATGTGCCACCCCTGGGGACATTCAAGGCCAGGCTGGATGTGGTTCTGAACAATCTGATCTAGTTGAAGATGTCCCGGCCCATGGCAGGGGGGTTGGACTAGATGACCTTTGAAAGTCCCTTCCAACCCAAACTATTCTGTGATTCTGTAATGATTAAAATTGTCCTTGAGATTTGATAAACTAGTCTGAACATCTTTATTTCACCCTTTTGAAATAATTATGCATATACCTCCTTTAAGGCACAGTCTTTACAGTTACACTGTTTCAATCCATAACTGAAAGAATTTATCTTTTATGTTCCATACTATAATAATATAGTACTTATGAAAGTTGGGAAGTTTTTTCCACTGTTACAGCTTGACAGTAATGTGTTGTTTCTTCTTTTCTTTCTGTAGGGAAATTTAAATATTGCAACAGAAACCTGAACTGAGCTGTGATCCTGAAGTTGAAACCAACAACACAGCAAAGGGAGCATCTGTTCATTTTTTGACAGTGTTGTCAAGACTTAAAATAGGATAAAGGAACTAACCCTATAACTTTCTTGATTAAAAATAACTTTATTTTTCAGTAGTGGAATGCTGCAGAACTTTTTTACAGTTTTAATAATTGCTTTTAAACTACAGTATTCAACTGAAACACAGTAGTATGTACCTTTAGTTCCTTTTGCATACCAGTGTCAAGTAAAGAAGTCATCAGAGGGAGTCTTACTTATCGAATACTTTTTCTCTAAGCATGATGTTACAGATGGAACTTGAGTTGTTATACCCAGAGGTTTCTATGTTGAAAGTTTCTTGCTTACGTAATAAAAAAAAGGAAGGAAAAAAAAAGTGCCTGAATTGTTTGGTAACAGCACATTAGCTCAGGATTTTCCAAGTAATGACCTTTTAGGTTGTGCAATAGATTTTACACCTTTGTTTAGCATTGCTGTGAACCAGTATTTTGTATTACTTTAGTTTAATAATATACTTGGGTTTCTGATGTGTATATACATTTGTAAATTGTTAGAATGTTGGGACAACTTTCAGTATTTGATTAAAATGAATGGTAACAGGCAGGTGTGTAATGTACTGTAGCAGTAGCTTATAACTGCACTGAAAGCATGCTTAGGGTTGTTAGAGGATTAGTTGGTCTGTATTCAAAATTATTGTCTCATTATCTTTTGGGGTATGACATTCTTGACCAAGCCACGTGTTCTCTAATCTTTTTTGTCATAAATGATTTGATGATTTCCTGGATTCTGAAATTGAGGCCTGAAGTATTTAATTACAAGAAAAACAAAAACTGTAAGTTTTTCTAAGCATGTCTTCTAAGAAAGCTGTTCATAACTGAAACTGCTTTAAATGCAGATAGCTTATCATTTTGCTCAAAATCCCAGTAATTCTCTGAAGTTTACTGTACTGCAATATTGCTGTGCTGTGTGCGAAACTCAAATAGATGGACATGTTTTATAAGCAGCTATAAACAATATTGTGCTTATTTCCTGTTTATAGCCTTTGCCTTAATATGTAATATATGATAGGGTTGTGTGTATGTATTACAGGTTTGTTCAGACTTTTCATTACCAGTAAATTAAAGATGCAAAGCAAGTAGTTTTTAGAGATGTTCTTCTTTAAGAAAAAAGCTATTCACCATATCCACAATATATGCAGGCTGATGTGTTTTCATAATTTCCAAGGCAGTGTTAGCTATTCTAGAATGCAGGCTAGTCTCAGTTGTGGATAGTAGGTTGGAATTCTGATACTGGGTAGAAGTATGTTCAGAGAAAATGAAATCTGGATTTTGGGTAGAAAGCCAGGCTGTGATTTCTGCATGCCTTTTTGTAATTTTTTTGCCACAATGCCCTCAGCAGAGAGGCTATTTGGAAGTGTAGGCATGGCTTGGATGAGCTAAAATAGCGCCATGTAAATTCTTCAGTTCATGGGGTTTACTGCTTAGTATTCATAGGGAGTAAGCAGGTAGGAAGTGTGCCGCTTTCACTGATGTTGTGGTCATTCAGCAATAATACTGGATATTGGTTTCTGAACCCCAAATTTTCAGTTTAAATAACAATGATTCAGCTAGTTTTCAGTAACTGACACACACAAGATGGGAAGCTAACTGAAAGGAATTCATTGGTCAAACTGATGCAGGAAAATTTCCACAGATGATAAAATATTTATGCCGTCAGTGATAAATTGGGCAAAAACATCTTGGGTAGATTTACAGGGAGAGAAAAATAAGGAATTGAAACAAGGTTTAAGTGAGTCAACCCAAAGCCAGTGTGGAGTAGCTGCAGCTGAGCAGCCTGTTGGCAGGGGAGTGCTGCAGGTAGTCTGCAGATGAGGGCAGTTTGCTGTCAAGCTATTCCCGCTGCTCCCGAATGTGCTAAAGCACTGTCAAACATGTAAAAAGTGAAACCATGTATGATATAGGATGAACTACTGAATCTATATTGTCTTAATCAACAGGATACTACTGTTTCTGTAAGCTTCCTGCAGTGTTCTTATTAAAGCCTGGAAGAGAACTCGTGGTTGAGCAAATGGAAAAGTGGATACATGAAGAAACTTCTGACATGGCAGTTTTGCTAAAATTGTTTAGAAGTAATGCTGAAATAGTCAGACTTTAGTCAATTAAGGCTGCTTTAACCAGGTTTAAAAGTGTGACTGGCTCCTCTGATTTTGTGCTCTTATTTTACTTGTGCATGACTGGGTATCTCTAATTTGTTTTGTATTTGAACAAATAGCTTTGTTTTGTATTTCTACAACCGTGAGCAACATATTACAAGCAGGGTTTGTTGGCATGTTACTGACCTTGACTTGTCCCCCTACTCCTTGCCCACCCTTGGTCACAAGATGAATGTCATATGATAAAATGTAGTAACTGTTTCAGTTGTTTTAGCTTTTATTTAATATGATGCCATTTGCTCAAATCACATTATTTACTGATAGCTTTACTTTGCTAATTTGGGATTCTGATAAAACTTCCTATATTTTATAAAAATCGTACAAAGGTTGAATTCTGTGACTGGTTTAGGTGTTAGAGGCATCAACTCTATCTGGTATGAGACATTGCTATGTTGATTTATCTTTGTGAATTGGAGACTTGTGTCTATATACTCACACAAATCGGCTTGTGTATTCTTTTAAGTACAGAAAAGTTCTGTTGTACTGGAATACGTTTGTTTGAGAGCAGTGTATTGAAGTTACTGATTGGGTTCTGAACACACAAGAAAAGGTGTTAAGAAAGGTCAATTTACTTGAATAACTTGGTGCCTTTCTGTATTGTGACTGCATTGTAGAAAACACCTGTACAAAGACTCAAGTAATATCCTGGTTATCACATTGTTTCTAATGGGAGCATGGACTGGTACTGGAATAACTACTTACTTAAATATGCGTGTAAGCCTCAGAAGGAAAACAGCCTTGCTTGTATTAGTAAAGTCTGCCACTGCATTTGCATTGGAAGGGCAACTTAAAAATGTGATTGTCTAAGAGCTTTCTAGCTTTGTTTTATGCTTTGAAAATATAAATATGAATTGCGTTTTGGTTGACTTGAAATGGCTGTTAAATGCTCATGTCACTCAATTGTTCATGTGAAATGTTTTTCTAATTGCTATCCAAAATGCAGTGGGTTTAATGACTAGAGTCTTCCTTGTGTCTGAAATAGTAAGTTGTGATGTTAGCATTTACATTGATGATCCATTTAATCTCTACATAGGTTTGTTAGAATCCTCATTTTAAACTTTGTGATGATGTGAGTTCACAAGGTTTAAAAAATTCTGGGGCTAGTAAGAAGCAACACATTGCAAGGCTTGTACAAGCCTGCCTTAACTCTAGTAATTGTTTTCATGCTTCACCTTACCTGATGGATATAGTTGGTCTTGAGACCTGGATAGAACTGTCTCAACTCAGGTAACTGATAGCAGAGGATGCAAGTAAATTCAGCTGATCACCAATTGTGCTAGTGGTTTACTTGCTGCCTTCTCTCCCAGGGCCTCAGAGTGAAATGCTGAATTTTCTTTGTATGAACTTAGTTGCTTTAAAAATAAAACAAAAACCAAGATGACACTTTAGTGGCATTATAAAAGGTGGGGTTCTCAAAACTCAGAAAGTCATTTTCTGCCATGTCTTGGAAATGGATAGTGAGAGTTGCTTGGAGGAGAAGATTAAAGATTATTGCAAAGAGAGAGTTGATTTCTCAGTGTTCACCTTAGAGACTGTATATAGAGGGAGTTCTTTAACTTCCGTGCTTTCCAAAGGGATCTTTTCCTATGCTGTGTAGAAACATGCCTCTTGCCTTTCTTTAAGCATTTGAACAGCCACCTGCAAAGTTTTCTACAGGAGAGCTCTCTAGAAGAAAGACTTTAGACTGGCATCTGAATGAACCTGGGGGTGAAGGAATGTTTATGCACATTATTCTGGCCCTTGACAGACTTCCATTGCTGCAGGATTTGAAGATAGAGGTTCTTCAGCCTATTTAGGAAGGAAAAAAAAAAAGGCAAAAAAAGCCATTTCAAGATCATCAAAAGCCTACTTGTAACACTTGACTCCTTAATAGACCTTAACAATAGTGATGAACTTTTAAAGAGTGTTCTGTTTCAAGCTTGGTGAGCTAAATTTTCAGTGTCTAGAGCAGAGAAAAGCGCTGTTGTAACACCTGCCCTTTCCTTCCCTGCTTGATGGGTTTTGCTGTTGGGAGGGTTTTGAGTGGGTATTTAGCCACATGGCTTAATAGCTCTATGCTGCTTGCCACTTGAATACAGTTTTCTTCTGTTCACTGTTCATTGCTCTGAATTTTGTGCAAGCAGTCTAAATCTCATGTTGTCTTTTAATATTTCATTTTCTGTAAATGTGGTAGATGGCTTTCATTTCTTGATTGGCTTCTCATTGTTGAGGGAAGAGACAGGGTGGAACCAGTTGTTTTGAGTATGCTCTTCATGGAATAAAAAAGCTTCATTATTTTGTTAAGAGTAGCAGGATTTTTTCCCCCCCAATTGAATGAGGATGTGGACTGATGTCCACTTGTAAGGAATATATTAGTGTTGATGTTATTTATACTGTAGTTTCACAAGGACCTTCTAATGTGTGTATGTGCACATGTGTACACATACAAACACAGTACTGGAAACCTTTAATGTAATTATTTCTAAGTGTGGATAAGAAATGACATTTTTAAATTACTGAAGATGGAGTTAAATGCAAATGCATTTTAAGTCTGTAGTCTTTGGCGTCTACAACGGTGCTTTTGACAATGTTATTCCATATCTAAAATCCTCATTCATAAGTATATATTAAGATGTAGGTATGTTTATATGTATGTTTAACATAGTTTATATAAAATCAATGTAAATCTTGTTTCTACAGACAATAAATGTTTTCACAGAATTTTTACTTCAGTGATTTGATTCAGTAGTTATTAATGTTTGGTGTAACTTTCAGAGTATTTTACTTGATCTGTGTAGCCACTGAATTTTTTTTTAGTATAAGTTATGCTTATATAACTTATGAAGTATTGATCCACATTTTAAGCACGCTTCTTTTTGGCTAAAAGAAGCTGCTTTTCTAAAGACACAAAAATACGATTCTCCCCTCATTACTAGCACAGAATAGATGCTGTATAACAAAATCTGTGAAGGTGGGTATGTCTTATCTCCTCCATGGCATTCAAAATCCTTATCTCTGCTGAATTCTGATTCTTGCCCTGTACAGGAGCAGGATGGGGAAAGGCGCACACTTGCTTGGCTAACTTTGATAGTGTGTACATTCAATAAACCAGTACGCATTTTTAAGAGGTCCATTAATACTGTATCATCAGTACGAGGTGAAAACAACAGTGTTAGTACTAAGAACTCCTAATAGAGTGGAGGGAGAATAAGGTGAAGCTAGAAGAGTAATACACTTGTATTTTAATTAAAGGAAAAGAGTTAAATTTCCCCATTATTTACTTAAACTTGCATAATCCAAATCTGTCTTGATCTTCACTTTATGTAATTTTTTTTTCTTTATATAATTCTCTTAACCTGGTTATTATCCTTGAGCTAGGTAGTACAGCAAAACTCCTTCATGTGTGGTAAATCTACTGTGATGTAGAGTAGCTACAGGGAGAGGCATTGTTACTTCTTTCCTCTCAGGAAAAAAAAGTTAAAATACGTGGGGGGATATTAATAATCGTGCTTCCCAACTGTTATACTATAGTCTTAAGAAGTGATGTAGCCGATCATGTTCTGAAGTGCATGTCACTTGAGAATGAAGTTGCTAATTTGCATTGATACTCCATTAAAACCATCTCTTTAGCTTCTCTGAGCAATTTCTTAACAGGTAAAGAGAAGTTTCTTTTCTAAATGCCATCATGATGTGTATTAATTCAATGCTTCCCCTCCCCCCCCCCCCCAGCTTGGTGATGTGAGTTTGAAGCCCCAGCTGAGGGGTAGGCTCTGCATGAACACAAGATCAGTCCTACAGATATTCTTTGGCTTACGAACAATGGTAAGCTAAGTCTTGGAGGTATTACAACAGTGCTTCCCCCCAGTTTACAATAAGGTTTTTCCACTTTCTGGGAAGGACAACCTGCTGTACTGTGTTACTGCGTAACTTGAGAAAGCAAGGAACTTCTCATACATGAATTTTTAGTGATAGTTGAAATTGGGAATCTGTTTGAAATAACCATCAAATCAGCTTTTTCCTGGGTATTGTGTAAGATTTCTTTGTGTTACTCATCGCTTTTACTACCAGCCTTGAAGAGTCCTTACAGAAATAGTGCTACTGGTATGTACCAGGCTAACTTACTCAGTTATACCACTTACTCCATCTTAAGCTGTGAAACTGGAGCCCTGGAGAGACAAACTTCATCTAAAATTACCATACTAACAGCAGAAATACCTTCTTTCTCAACCCTGGTTGCATCAATTCTACTTAATCAAAATAAAATAACACGTCAAACTGACCTCACAATTTCAGCTAGTTTGTTATAATGCTGAAGTAAAAGCTGGTGCTTATGGTTACTTCCCAGAATTAATCCTGTAAATTTTCTAAGTAATAGAGGTCAAATGCCTTTATGCAGTGAGGAATGGTGGATAATGCCAGTTTTCTGTGTTCATACCCAAATTACCTACCTGAGGTTCAGCCAGGCTTTTTTGCTCAACCTTTCATTAATCTCGAAGGTGCTTGTGCTGTAGAAGATGCTACCTATACTTTTATACCAGGTTACAATTTCTCTATGTTCTTCCACTCTGCTACTGGTGTAGTTTTTTTCTATTCCAGTGGTCTTCACCTGTGTGAGGACTTGCCTCTGAAGAATAGTCCCTGGCCTCATCAGGTGCTTTTCTATCCAGAAAGGTTACTGATCTATGCCAACGGCTCTCTCATTTGTTCAGTTTTATTGCGGCACGAGCTTCCCATCTTCCTGCAATACCGAAAAGAACAGTCAGCTGCTCATGTGCGGCTTCGATTTTTATTTTTTTTCTCCCGGAACACCACCACCAAAACCCCACTCTTCATCTCGTCTTTCCTCCTTCCCTCCCGCCCTCTAGAGCCAAGCGTGTAAAGGGGCGGGGGGGGCCCTTCCCTCACGGCCAGGGTCGGAGCGCCGCGGTGAGGGGCACCTGCGGGAGCGGCCGTCGCATTTCCCACCTCCTCCGAAGGCAGAGCCCCGAGGCAAAACAGGGCACGGCCTGCAGCAGGTAGCGGCTCCCGGGTACGGGATCCTGAGGTACCCGCCTGTCCCGCTGCGCGGGAGCGGCCGCCCACTCCCAGAGACAGTGCCCAGAGCGTCCTCCTTCCTCCCCAGCACCGAAATAAGGCGAGCCCCTTCCCCTCCCGTGCCCCCCCGAGCTCCCGGTGCCTCCCCGTGCCCCCTGCCGACTCCTGGCCGCAGACGGAAGGAGCCGCCCTTTTCCCCCACCCGGGGCTCCGCGACACCCCTCTCCCCCGGCCCGGCCCACCCCAGCCCCCGCTGGGGACCGCTGCTTGCTTCCTTCCTCTCCGCCCTCCCTCCCCTGCCGCCGCTCCCGGCTGCCCGAGGCGGCGCAGCGGCTCTGGCGCAGTCTCGCGACACTTCCCACAGCGCCTGAGCCGAGTCGCCCCGCTCTGTTCGGCTCCGCTCGCTCCGCCGGCAGCAGCAGCCGCCTGCGGCGTGGAGGGATCCGGCTGCTCGCTTCTCGCACCCTCGCCGTGCGGAGTGCACGGCCGGTCCCGCGGCTCGGCAGCCTGCTCCTCTGGGCGCCCGAGCTCGGCCGCGCTCTCTCTCGGGCTGCCGTGCCGGGCGGCAGCAGGGACCCAGGTGGCTGGCAGGAGCCGAAAGCTGAGCCCTCTCTCTCGCTTCGTTTCCTTTTTTCGTTTTTTAATACACACGATACTTATGCCGGGAGAAGTCGAGGTGCTGCTGCTAACAGGACGCGGAATGCAGCCCGGCTGCAGCGAGTGCTGAGAGCGGCGGCCGCCGGAGGAGGGAGCGGCTCTGTCAGCAGCCTCTTCTTCCCGCGGCGGCTGCTCGGCTCGGGCTGTCTCTCACCCCCTTCGCCGTGGCAACCCGCCTCAAACTTTCAGCCTGTTTCCGCCGCCAGGCAAAGCCCAGCTCGACATAAATGGGTGAGTTCAAGCCGCCGGCTCCGAGTTGCCGGTACTGTGGAGGCTGCTCAGCGGGTGGGGTGCATACCGCTGCCGCGACGGAGGGGCGGTGGGGAGGGAGCTGCCCGCCGCCAGCCTTCGCTCCTCCGCCTCACGGCTTTTAACTTCTCCTCCCCTCCCCCGGCGGAGTCAGTAATTGTTTTCATGTGACAGGCAGCGAGGTCGGGGTTTGCGGCGGCGGGGTGAGGGCCGGGCGCCCCTCGAGGCTGCCGCTGTGGGCGATCCCGAGCGGGGCTGATGGGGTTGCGAGCCCCTCTTTCCATTGGGCACAGCCACCCCTGGCAGCGTGGGGTGTGGTGTGGTGGGGCCGGGCGGGCATAGAGAGGGGGGGCCTCCGCTCCGGGCGCGCAGGTTGTGCTCCGTCCGCTGAGGGGAGAGCTGAGAGAAAGCGCGGGGCGGCCTTTGGGACGTGCTGTACCGCCCCGCCAGAAGGGGGCGGTAGTTGCGGCCATTGCGCAGGGGTCGCTGGGGGCGTTGCGAGGGGGCGGTTGCGTTCGGCAGCGTCTGCCCGTGAGGTGGCTCCCGCGGACTTCGGGAAGAGGCAGCGCCCGCTCGCCCAACCCGGGGTGGGCTGCGCCCGCTACCTGTACGGGGCGGGGTCCTGGTCAGCGGGAGGGGTGAGGATGGGAATGAATTGTCCCATTATGTGGGGCGAGGCGGCGGCGGTGCCAGGCGCGGGCTGATTGAGCGATGCGCCCCGGGGCGTCGCTGGAGCGGCGCTGGCCCGCGGCTCCCTCTGCCCAGCACTGTGCCCGGCGGAAAATTATGTCTCGGAGGGAACAAAAGAACCCGCCTGCTGTCGGTAAGCAGCCCTGGGTGTACCTACTGGCCAGCGTGTGAAGGCAGTGGTGAACGGTGCTTCAAAACACCGCCGTTCAGATGTCCTCGGCTGCCCGCTATACTACTCACGGTAGCAGAAATACTGTTGGGCTGTGTGAGACCCTGAGAGCACCATCATTAAAACGAGTAAATGTAATGCCTTACTTGGCAGACATTTTACACATTTGTTGTAATACAGTGACATTGGGAATACAGTAGGGAAGAAATCGTCCCTTTGTTCTTTGAGAGGTTACTTTGCGAGATCCTATTAAAGCGATGTGCAGTTCCTGTACATGCATGTTACAAGATTAAGTACTAGCTTTCCAGTATTGACTTTCAGTTAGTTCTCCAATTCAGGCTGAAATGCATTCGTCCCTATGCAGGTCATTCAGCTGTATTGATCTGGGTGAACTCTGATATTGCTGACAGTAGCCCAGCAGCCCAGACCACCATACTTAATTGTAGAGAGCATTGTAGAAGACTCTGTAAGGGTTGATTTGCCTGTCTTGGTTAACACAGCTCTCCCAACTTCGGTCTTCTGTAGTAACAGATAAGATTTTAAACATAGCTGCTTTAATGAGAAGTAGGGTTTGTTAACTGCTGAGCTGAGCAAAATCTGTCTTCAGTAAGGCATGTCACTGGAATTATTTTTTTTTAATTATTAATATTGTTTTCTTATCCTCTCTTAGTCCATTTATTCTGTATCAACTTTGTATTGTGATACAATAAGACTTTTCTGATTTCTGATTAATCCGTACTCCAAATATTACCCTTTTTTAGCTTCATGGTACAAAAGATTAAGGAAAGCAAAAGACCAGTGAGGTAACTTACATTGATAGAGCTCTAGGAAGGTTTTTGAATACTGTAGCTTAGCAGTGAAGGCCATCTTTTTCTTTTACCCACCCTTCCCTCCCCTGGGCTGGCCATGACCGTACACATCTGTCTTTAAAACTCATTTGGATAATGACTTTACCAAATTGTTGTGATTCAGTCAGACTTCTTTTTGAAAAATGGGGGTGGAAGGAAGGTAGATATGGTTTAATTTTTGTTTATATATTTACATGGTGATTCTTGTAATTTAAAAACAAATGGAGAAATTGTGTAAGGAAGTGAAGATAGGAGTAGTATGAAAGGCAGATCTTTATAGGAGATAACAAATCAAACCAGAGATTTATTAAAAAAAAACAAAAAAACACTGTTAGCATTTTTGAAAGAAAGATACTTCAGATGCAGAAGAGAATAAGTGAATTCTTTGTGTACACACTGTTAGGTTTTCTGATGTTTTATTTTTAAATTACTTGTATGCCTTCCATTTCAACCATTTATATTTTCTGTATGGAGCTGCATATTGGTATTAGTCCAACCCTGTGCATGTGTATTTTACACATCTGTGTATATTATAGTTCAGCTTTTCATTAAAGCTTTTTCATGGTACGTACTCAAAACCTTACAAGAAATACAGCTTTATCATGATGTAGTTTGTGAGTTATTGTATGACAGACATTATAGGTAGAGTACCTTAAAGTGAATTAATTTACACTTGGAATAGACTTGTGAAATAATGGTGGTAGTTCTCTAAACATAAAAGCGGGGCAAGGCAAATATCTTAAAGGTAATTGTGAATGTAGTGGAACAAGCTTGGTCCCCCTCCTTAAATGTCTGAGAAATGAAGAGGTGGTGTTTTGGGGGGACTTGTATGTATGTGTGGGTTGTTTGGTGTTGCTTTTAGGTTTGATTTGTTCTCTTTTTTTAAGACTACTTAGAATTGCACATGGTAGGACTCCTCAGTCTCAACTGCAAAAGCTTTTAAAGCCCACAAATCAGACTGTTCTCCTGAAGTTGGAGGTCCAGAAAGCAAAGTAAGAAGAAGGCATGGTGGCTGCTTGGGGAAGAACTGGTTTGCAATGTACTGCTTATCAAATTTGGAAAACAAAAAATTTGGACTGCAAGTCTAGAGAGTCTAGAGAGCAGTGTTTAACTGCCGTCATCACAAAACAACTGATGTGTAGCTACTTGTGTCAGTTGAGACACACCTTCCAACTTCTGCTGTAAATGAAGAGCCTTTTCCTGCAGTGCAGTCTTTGCTCACCTTCAGAGCACGGTTTAGTACATTAAAGGAGGTATGGATCTGTAGAATAATACCACTATGAAGCTAAGCAGTTGAAGCAGCCATCATAATGCTTGTAAATACTGGGTTATAAATAAGCCCTTGAATCATCAATATTTTTTTATCTTAGTATTTTTCAAGGTAATATTAAAGCTTTTCTGTTGGGAAAGGGGAAGAGAGGACACATTGCTTTTGTTTACATGAAATCACATTGATCACCTCTGTTGTTGCCATAGTTAGGAGTTTGGCTCCAGCTAGTCTTGTGCCCTTTCAACCAGTCAGATTACTGATACTGCAGACAGCTATTGTCTGCACAGTTTTACTTTAGTGATTGAGAAACATGCTTTGCTGTGAAATACCACAGCTAGTTTGTACACACCAGAGCAATTTTATGCCAAGAAGTAATGCAATCAAAAGAATCTGTGTGAGAGGCTGGTATGTTCTGTTCCAGTTGATATCCCTTTTCCCGTTTTCCCCCTTTGTTAGTTATTTTTTCCTTTCCATATTCTCCTCTGCCCCCTGCCCTCAGCTTCTCTTCTGCTTCCCCCATAAACCCTACCTTTTTATCTTTCCGCCTCTACTTCTCTTTACATGCTTCAGACATGTCAGTTCCTCTTTCTCCCTCTCTCTTACCGAAACATCAACAGAGGGAGCACTCTGAGCACATTTCCTGCGTGTGGGTCCACACTGACCTCCAGCAAGCAGGAGCTGTGCTTGCATCAAAACTTCCACTTGGCCCTGAGGTGTGACTTGGAGAGCACTCACTGCAACAGGAGCCCTGGGGAGTTTATCTGGTAGACTCTAGTAACATTACACTCCTGTATAAAATGAAGCATTTTTGAGGCCTAAGCTTAGCAGAAGTTTTATAAATCACAGGTGGTAGGTGTGTTTGTGGTTCTTGACTACTCTGACAAATTTGAAGCTCTGCCCAAAATGGTGGAGAGTTTGGATCCTTTCAGAAAAATAGCTGTGAGATGTTTTTAAATAGGAATAGCATGTGTCATTCTAGTCATTGTTGAAAACAGTTGAACAGTTTCAGCTGAATAAGGAAAAATCATAAGAAAAATTATTAGCATGACTTTTTTTTTTCATTTTTATCTTTTTCTAAATAAGGTTTTAAGCAGCTGTAAAGTGGCTTTATAGAGGAAATGTTGCATAAAAATCCTCCCCAACCTGTATAAAGTCTGTTCTCCTCCTCGTATGGGATCTTATTAATTTTAATTCTTTTGTTATCATTGGTAGGTTTGTTTCTCACAACAAGGCGGTTGCATTGGAGCTGTTCAAGATCACATTTCCAGTTGTTTGGTGACAGTATTATATAGCCTGTGAATGTCTTCATGATCCGAGTTCAAGTGGAGTTTTCATAAACCGTAATAAAATATTTTCAGTAACCTATATAAAATACCATACCAAAAAATCTGGCATGAAGCTATTTTTCCCTAGCAATCAAAAAATAATGACATTTATGTTGTAAAAGGTTGTCAGATCTGCCTTCTGAACAGAACAAGATAGGGGTTTGAAATAAAAAATAAAAAATATGAAATATATACATGTGTGTATATGTAAAAATTTTTGAAAATAATTTCTGATTTTGCAGTCTGTTTTGTATGTTGGTATCTCTTCTGTTTGCTCCTTTCTCAGTGTCTACATTACAGTTGGGTTTTTTTAATAGTAGTTGTTGCTTGTGGATCAGAAAGTGTGATAAGGAAGAGATACTTAAAATAGAAGGTTTCTTAAAGCCACAGAATTTTTGCTCCTCTTTGTGCTGATCAAGGATTCATCTGTAGAAAATTATGGTAGAGCTGCTAGAAAAGTTGTGGGGTTTTTTTTTGTTTGTTTTGGTTTTGGTGTTTTTAGCCTACTTAGTCTTAAAGAATTATATTTAATAATTAAAACACTTTCTTACGAAGCAGTTTTATTGTGATATTAATGCAGAGTGCATACATCTTTCTGTGTAAACTGCTACTAATGCAATTGATACAATTAGTCTGTAATGTGATTCAGATTTGCTTCTTTGGTAGTTGTTATTCACTGG